GCTTTGGTATACTAAAGCTTAAAAGCATTAACAGACTTTCCATATACTCAAGTTTCTCAGATTTGTTTTGTTTTGGTTTTTTATGGATACCTGGAATTAAACACAGGACCTTGCACTTCCCAGGCAGGCACTGTGCCACTGAGCTATATCCCCAGCCCCAAGTTTCTCAAATTTGAATATTCCATTTTGGTTGGTTTTACTAGTGAAAATTCAGTTAGGAAAAAAAAAAAATTATAAAATTATAGATTTAGAAGACTTCTGTGTTTATGTAAAATATTAAATCAGTTATTGTAGAACATGTAAATATTCAGGTTATCAGCCCTGGATAAGGGATATTGCTGTTTTAATTTAAAACATTAAATATTCATTTAATATGAAGACAGCATAATATGCAAGGTCTACATTTTTATATGCAAACAATATTTAGAATTTTTAAACGTGGCTGTCTTCATGGTTCAAAATATTGTAAAAAATAATAGGAAAACTTAAAATTCTGGGCTTTTTTGAGGGGTGTGCTGTAAGACAGGGTCTCGCTATGTAGTTCAGACTGGCCTCAAACTTGCAGTGATCTCCTCCCTCAGCCTTCCGAGTGCTGAGATCTCAGCAATGTGCCACCATACCCAGCTTCTGAGCTTTTTAAAATGACTACTTGAAACCAGGCATGGTTCTCAGGCAGAAAGATTGCCAAGAGTTTGAGGCCAGCCTGGCTACATAGCAAGACCCTGTCTGAGAATACCAGAGAAAGTTGGGCGTGGTGACATGGTGCACACCTGGATTCCCAGCATTCAGAAAATTACTAGTTGAGTAGATGATGGACAGACAGCCACCCTAAACATGCCTGATCTCAGCTGATCTCATGAACTGAGCCGGTTTGGTCCTGGTTATCACTTGGATGGGAAACCACCTGGAATATCGGGCAGTGTAGACTTAAAATTTTTTTTTTAATTAAAGAAGAAAACTGAAAGAAATCATTGTAAGCTACTCCAGAAAATACTATGGAAGTTGAGCCTGGTAATGTATTCCTATAATCCAAGCACTTGGCAGGCTGAGGCAGGAGGATCACCATGATTTCGAGGCCAGCCTAAGCTACAATAGTGAGACTGTGTCTCAAAAAAATACTATGGTAACCCCTTTCCCAACGATTTTATTTTACTAGCACAGGATAGTATACTAGCTTTGTTTTTTGTTTTGTTTTGTTTTTCTTCTGGTATCAGGAATCGAACTCATGACCTTGCCCTTGCCAGGCAGGCACTTTTCCCCTGAGCTAAATCCCCAGCCCCCCCCTTTTTTTTGTCTTTTTGAGACAGGATCTTGCTATGCAGTTCAGGCTGGCCTTGAACTCACTTTGTAGCCCAGACTGGTCTCGAACTTGCAAGGATCCTCCTGCCTCAGCCTCCCAAGTGCTGGGATTACAGGCTTGTGCCACCACGCCCGGCTTTTTTTGTTGTTGTTTTTTTTGGTACTGAAAATCGAACTCAGGACCTTGTGTTTGCCAGGCAGGTGCTTGTGCCACTGAGCTATATCCCCGGCCCACTAGCTTTGTAAAATAACCTTATTATAATGTTTTTATAGAGAGTTACAGTCAAAATTTTAAACTTTATGATTTTCCTAGGTTGTGTGTATGAAAGTATTGATAGAATTTTCAGGTACTTGGGAGGAAAGAAATTATAAGTGGAACTTTTGCATGTTGAAGATTTTTTTTTCTTATTAACTATTATACTCAGATACATAAACTGTACTTATTGAAGCATGCTAATGAACCGTTTGAGGGTGTTTTAACAATTTTTCCCTTTGTAGGCTTGTGTGGTAAAACGTGAATTTAAGAAGGCAGAACAGTTGATTAAACATGCAGTGTATTTGGCACGGTAGGTGATTGTTACTAAATATACCGTTTTAAATTGTTGCTCTACTGTATATTCTAATAGTTTTGTATCTTTTTATAGGGATCATTTTGGACCCAAGCACCCAAAATATTCTGATACATTGCTAGATTATGGGTTTTACTTACTCAATGTAGATAATATCTGTCAGTCTGTTGCAATTTATCAGGTATGTTAATGGTTACCCTTTTTTTTTTTCTTTCAACCTAAATTGATTTGTTGACCTGTATTTGTTTGTGATATATAAACCACTATCTAAAAATAACTCTTTGAGCCCTCCCCCTCCAATAAGGCACACCATCATTTTACTAAGTATTACTTGGAAGGCTTCAAAAATAATGCCTTAGAAATTAAAGAGAGTAAGTGAGGAACGGAATTATGGGTTGTGGGCCCCTATTTGAGAAGTTTTCTCTCTTTCATTTGCCCAAGTAATGGATTGTTTTTGTGGTTGGTTTAACAAGTATCAATGTAGCTGCCTTTTTACCAGCCAGGGCTGATAGCAATAATTTTAGGCCCAATCATAGTCATTCGCAGGTAAATGATGACTGTTCCCTGGCTGCAGACAAGGTAGCCTTGCGTTTACGTTCACTTTGGGGAGGACCTAGAGAAAACACTGACGTGACTCTGACGAGAAGGGCCTGATGGTTAGTAAGCTGTTGCCTTTTTAAATCCTCCCCACTCTTCGTGAAGGTTGTCTGCTTGACTCTTGTCTTCTGTGACTTAAATACAGCAGGATTTTCTGGCTTGAAAACTTATGGCTTTGGGTATATGAATTATTAGACTGTTTAATTTAAATGAAGTAAGCAGGGAGTGGTAGCGCATACCTATAATTCCAGCAACTCAGGAGGCTGAGGCAGGAGGATTGTTGCAAGTTCAAGACCAGCCTAGGCTACAAAGTGAGCTCAAGGCCAGCCTGAACTGCATAGTGAGACCCTGTCCCAGAAAGGCAAATAATAATAATAATAATATAATAATGATAATAATAATAATTTAAATGAAGGGATATTGTCTGAAGGTTGACAGTATTATTAAATACCTTTGTGATTCTTTCAGGCAGCCCTTGACATTCGACAGTCAGTGTTTGGTGGCAAAAATATCCACGTAGCAACAGCTCATGAAGACTTGGCTTACTCTTCTTATGTTCACCAGTATAGCTCTGGGAAGTTTGACAATGCGTTGTAAGTGCCACGTTCTTGTTCAGTGTAGGATTTTTTGTTGTTGTTGTTGTTGTTGGTACCGGGAATCAAACTCCGAACCTTGCGCTTGCCAGGCAGGCACTTGTACTGCTGAGCCATACCCCTGGCCCTGTGTTCAGTGTAGGATTAAATGCTGCTTTTGTTTGTGTTTGGTTCCTTATTACAGTAGTATATAATGTACTTTATATATATCAAATTGGTCTTTCTAGAGCTTTAAGCAGATGCCTAAACATAATCATACTAATTTATAAGCTATTCATTTAGACATTATGTAGTTTAATATTGAGACTTGTATATTTCTGTATAGAATATGACTCATTCAGTAATTTTTCTTTGAGTAATACAGTGACTTCTGGCTAAATGAGGGGCTTAAAAATCTAAAAATAGCTGGGAGTGGAAGGGCATGCCTATAATCCTAATACTGTGAGGAGGCTGAAGCAGGAGGATCTCAAGTTTGAACAGCCTAGACTTAACAAGACCCTGTCTGAAGACAAAAAAAAAAAAAAAGGCTGGGGAAAGTGCAAAGTCCCTGGGTTTAATTCCCATTACTGATAAAAACTTCTTGCTCAAAACATGTAAAAATATAAACCATTGTCTCTCTTATATGTGTAGGTGATCTTGTAAGAGTAAGGAGAAATCCCTAACAACTAATAATAGCATGGAATCCAAAGGCAGGAACTGTCGTCTAAGTAGTCTGGGGGTGGTAGGAAAGCTTACAGGTTTTTATAACCTTGACTGTACAATGATAATACTGGGTTTATGAAGCATTAACCTGTAGGAGATTATGAGTTAGGACCCTCACACAAAGCCAAGATCAAGGCAATGCCCTTAGGAAAAAAAAACAGACTGAGGTACGGAAAAGTGTCCGTTGTCAGAGATGACAAGGAAACTGCATGGGAGCTTGGGCTCAAATTAACAAAAAAAGGGAGGCCTCAAAGAAGAACGTGAACCTATAGAACTCTACTCCACTGGAGTCTGGGCTCGTATCTGCGTAAACCCATAAACAGAAAAAAAATTTTTTTTTTGAGGCAGGGTCTCCACTATGCAGTTCGAGATGGCCTTAAACTCACTTTGTGGCCCAGGCTGGCCTCAAACTCATAGCAATCCTTCTGCCTCAGCCTCCTGAGTGCTGGGATTACAGGCATGCGCCACCACGCCCAGTCTTAGTTTCTTTTGAAGTGATGAAAATATAAAATTGATTGTGGTGGTAGCTGTATTACTGTGGATATGCTAAAAATCATTGAGTTCTATACTTTCGGTAGCATTATATGGTAGACAGTGAAGTTTTTTTTTTAATGCTTAATGATATACAACTAGAAATGCCAGACTGCATCTATCTGTGTTGCAGATTTCATGCTGAAAGAGCTATTGGTATCATCACCCACATCCTACCTGAAGATCATCTTCTTTTGGCTTCTTCAAAGAGGGTGAAAGGTACCCTTTGTGATCTAGTCTCAGATGATTTGAAATTGATGATGATATATAGCAGAAAACAGGGGTATTTATTTTCTCACATGTGGTAGGGCTTAACTATATCCATTACTAAAGTAGCCAGTTCTCTGCACTCCACTTCAGGGTTTCCAGTGGTTCTTAAGGAAAGATTGCTTACTTTGCTCCTGTGATGTTGTGAATGTGCCTTATTTTTTCTTTTGTCTTTCATTCTTTCATGCATGCACTAATTTCTTTTGAGACCTGGAGGAATTAACACAAGTGATTCCATAGTGACATGAGTAGAGCCCCGAAGATGCACTTCTACTTTGAGGTTTATGCAGAATTCTTAAATTGAGCTTCAGGTTACCATGCGTTTGAAGGCTCTTGACAAATAGTTTTTCTTACAGTTGCCTCCACTGCTCTTCGATTTGATGTATTTTACTCACAAGTGGTTCATCCTTACGGTAGTTTCGTGCATGTTAGATAAGTTTTACACTTTAATTCTGGATGGAGTTTTTTCTACCTCTATGTTGACAGTTAAGTTATACAAGTAATAGGTGATCAAGTTTAAAAAAACTTATATAAAAAGGAGGAAAAATAAAGTTATTTGAGCTCTTCTGTTTCGAGTCAACATTTTGATGATTATTATTTTATTTTAGACTTTTTAAATAGGGTAATTAAATGAGTAAAAATTTTGTTAGTTTTTAAGCTTTTTTTTACTAACAGGAACATTTTTCCATTTTGATACATGTAGATAATTACCTTTTTTTCTAATGTATTTAACCTAATCTCTGTTATTGGACCTTTGTATTGTTTTCTAACTTTCAAAAACTACTTAATGCTTTTTAATTCTTCAGAATTGCCACAATGTTGTAAATCTCTTTTATCCACCTTTGTGCACATTGACAGTTTTCTAGGAAACGAAATTGTCTGGTTAAAAAAAATTTTTTTTTTTTGGGTGCCGGGGACCAAACCCAAGGAGGCCTTGCACATGCAAGGCAAGAACTCTACCGCCGAGCCACATCCCCAGCCCCAGAATATGTATACTCTTAACAATTTAGATGAAGTTTGAGAGTCTTGAATGTAGCTTTGAAATTTAAATGTTTTCTAACCTGATTTTGTGGATGAAGTAAATAGGAAGAAAGCGGTCTTTTAGTTATGTTTGAGTAAAGGTTGTTTTATAAAGGATGGTTTCAAAATTTTCAAAAGTGCTTAGGTTCTCCTTGACACAGTTTCATAACTGAACATCTTGCCTCTTTCTGACATTCACTTAAAGCGAGGAGTGGTGGCACATGCCTGTAATCCCAACACTCAGGAGGCTGAGGCAGGAGGATCATTGTGAGTTCGAGACCAGCCTGGGCTACAAAGTGAGCTCAAGGCCAGCCTGAACTGCATAGTGAGTCCCTGTCTCAAAAAAGACAAAAAAATTCTCTTTAGCAAAGTATAGCAGTATGTTAAAATAGAAGCTAATGTTCTGTAAAACAACTTGATAATATCGTTTTTCTTAAATTTAAATTCGTTATACTGTACAAAATACAATGACTCCCCCAAAAGTATACTGTGTATTAAAGTAGAATATTTTGGCAGGTGTAGTGGTGCATGCCTATAATCCCAGCACTTGAGAGGCTGAGGCAGGAGGATCACTGCACATTTGAGGCCAGTCTGGGCTACATAATGAGTTCAAAGCCCCTGTAAATGTCCTGAGACCCTGTCTCAAAATAAATAGAATATTTTGATCTTGACCGTTTCTAAACCATAATCACATATATTCAATAAATATATTTAATTTTCAACTAGGTGTTCTGATTGGCTTGGAAAATGGCTTAAAGGTATACTAATTTGTTGCTTTCTTTATTCAGCACTTATTTTGGAGGAGATTGCAATTGACTGTCATAATAAGGAAACCGAACAGAGGCTGCTTCAAGAAGCTCACGATTTGCATCTGTCTTCACTCCAGCTAGCTAAAAAGGCTTTTGGGGAGTTTAATGTACAGACCGCAAAACACTATGGGAACCTTGGAAGGCTTTATCAGTCAATGAGGAAATTCAAGGTAGAAACCTGTTTCACATTTTTCTCTTGCTAAATAAATCATGAATCATAAATTTTTAGTAATTTTAATAATATGTGTTCATTATACTCCTACCTTATTCCATCAAGGAAGTGATAAAACAGCTAGTATAAAACAACATAAAATATATACATGTAATATACATAAATTCATAATATATTATTTATTCTGTTAGATAAGAGTTATCAAATCTGTAGAAGATAAAGTATGTCTGTAGAAATTAACACCTTAACAAGGTCCGATTAAAGTTTTGGAATTTGTCTTAATTTCTTCTAACAGTTTTAATTTTTTCCTGTTAACTTCTTCTAACAGTCTTATTACTCAAGTAAGTCTTCACATTGCTTTTGGTCGAGGACATTATTACTGTCATCACCTGATCGTATGTTCTTTACCTATTACCTCTGGCATCCACAAACTCTCTTCGACATTTAGAAGACTCTTGTTCATTGGGTAAAAGTTGTTGGCATAAGAAAAAATATAATCTAAAAAAAAGAAAAGAAAAAGTATAATCTAGTGATTGATTTGGTGTAATTATTTTTCAGGAAGCTGAAGAAATGCACATCAAAGCAATTCAAATTAAAGAACAACTTCTTGGTCAGGAAGATTATGAAGTAGCCCTTTCAGTGGGACATCTGGCTTCTTTGTATAATTATGACATGAATCAGTATGAAAATGCAGAGAAACTTTATTTGCGATCCATAGCAATTGGTATGTTTTCTTTACATTTTCTCAGTTGATTAGAGATCAACATGTCTTAAAGGTCGTATAAAGGTAGTTTTCTAATGAGACACAGATGACTTTAGATCTGCAAAAGGTACCCAGAAACATCCAAAAATCATCTGGAGCAGTTTTGCTAAAGGTGCCTTTTCTATATTAAAGTCAGCAGTGAGCGGCGTGGCACTAGGTGTCAGGTGTCGGCAAAAGTGGTTATTTTCAGCTGTTCGTCCAGTTACTGTCCCTGCCTTCCACTGCTTTCTTCTGATTGTAGTGTAGATCGAGGTTTGCTGGACTTTTTCTCTGACACAGTACCACAGATTGAACCCAGGGCTTTCACAACAGTATACATTCCCTGCTCTGTGCCGAGTGCACCCCACCCCCACCCTTCCATTCTGTGGCAGGAGCTCAGTAAGTTGCCCAGGCCGGACCTGAACTTGCAGTCCTGCTACCTCAGCTTCACAGAGTGCTGGGGTTACAGGTGCTCACCACTACACCTGCCCTGTGTCTGACTTCTTTCTAGTGAACGTTAACTATAAAACCCATGTCACTGCCACTTGTTAATTTCCAATATTCCATAGTATGTTACTATATTAGTGTGTCTCTCTTAATGGGTGTATAGAACATTTCAATTGTTTCCATGTCAGGGTATTATAAAATAAGATACCATGGCCATCATCTTACAGAGGTCTGTTAAACCTTTTGCCTGTTTTTATAGGAGATGATTTTATCATTTGTTTACTGACTTATGGAAATGCTTTATGTACTGTAGAGTGTTACAGATACCTTCTCTCATTCCAGTACTTATTTTCTAATAGGACCTTTTCTAGGGAACAGAAATCCTTGATTTTAATGTAATTAAATGTATTGATTTTTTTTCTTTTGTGGTTAGCACTTCTGTATTCATTTTTGAGAATCTTTTTCTACCCCAGAGTCATGAAGATACTCCTCCAGAAGTTTATCTTTTCGAAACTTTGTTTAACCATACACATTTAGATCTACAGTCACATTTCCTTTTTTTCCATATGAATATACAGTTGACCCCGGACCATTTTTGGGGAAGACTGTTTTTCTCCCTGTCTTGCACTTAGTCATAAATCATGTATTCATATATATGTGGGTGTCTCCCACTAGCTGTAATATGCTGACTTACTTAGTCCTAAGTGCACGTAATTTCAAAATTGCTAACCCATATGTCTCTGAAAAACAAACCTACTACTTAGAGTCCAATATTTGTTTACAATAATCTTTGTCTTTAGCCTGAAAGTTGTATGTATCCGTGTTGGTCAGAAGTACTACAGGTGAAATTATCTCCCAGCCTCCTCTCCCTTCAATGTGGTTATATTATTTACTGGAGAGGTAATTAGATTCATTTGTTTATTATATTATATTTTGCTCCCTCCATTTTTTTTTTTTTTTTTAAATAAGTTCTCGCTATATAATTCTGGCTGGCCCTGAGCTCACTGGCCCAGGCTGATCTCAGACTCACGGTGATCCTCCTGCCTCTGGCTCCCAAGTGCTGGGATTACAGGTGGTGGCCCTATGCCCGGCTGTAAATTGTTTTTCGAATATGTGAAATGCTGATATTTTCAGATCCACAGCTAGAGCCAGGCATGGTAGCACATATCTGTACTGCAAGCACTTGGGAAGCTGAGCCAGGAGGGTTTGCTGAGTGTGAGGCCAGCCTTGGGTATGTAGTAAGTTCAAAGCTGGCTTGGACTACATAGTGAGACCCTGTCTCAAAAAAAAAAAAAAATTCACGACCAGCCTGGGCTACATAGTGACTTTGAGGCCAGCCTGAATCTCAGAAAAACAAAAACGTCATAGTTTCTCTTAAAACCATGAAATTTTATAATTCTGTTTTAGTATAGCCCAAATTTAAAGTCTTAGAGGTAGTTCCCAGGTGTGAATGGGTTAAGAGGTGCTGATACAAGAATATGTTCTCTTATGCCAGCCTATTTAAAAAAATTAAACTTGTGTTTGTGTTGAAATAATACTGCTTGTAGCCAGGGATAGTGGTGCATGCCTGTAATCCTAGCACTCAGGAAGCTGAGGCGGGAAAATCACCATGAGTTCGAAGCTAGCCTAGACTACATAGTAAGCTCAAGGCCAGCCGGAACCACATAGCAAGACCCTGTCTCCAAAACAATAGGGGGAAAAAAAAAAAAAACAGTAAAATAACTGCTTCTTATTTCAGTACTTGAACTTTGTTTTTTCCTTTGATCACTTCCAGGGAAGAAACTTTTTGGTGAAGGCTACAGTGGACTAGAATATGATTACCGAGGTCTCATTAAACTTTACAACTCCATTGGAAATTATGAGAAAGTGTTTGAATATCACAATGTTCTGTCTAACTGGAACCGGTTGCGGGACCGGCAGTACTCGGTGACCGATGCTCTCGAGGACGTGAACACCAGCCCCCAGTCCACTGAAGAAGTGGTGCAGTCCTTCCTAATATCTCAGAGTGTCGAGGGACCAAGCTGCTGAGGGGCCACCTCAGCTAACCAATTACCTTTTCCCAGATTCCGGGGAATTCATACTGTGAAATCAAAACCATGTTGTTTTTGAGGGCTGGAATTCGCATTGAAACACTGGTCCAGTCCACTGAAGACCCTGTTTTGGGTCATGCCTATCTTGCAGAGTGTCCGTAGAATAAGCATATATTCAGTTATATTCCGCATGTACCGCATGTATAAGTAGTCTGGCCCACATTTTCAACCTAGTAGAACAAACAACAGGAGAATCTTTTTTTTCCCTTTTATTTTTTCTTTTTAAAAAAATAATTCATTTTGCAGTAAGCCTGAAAGAAAAAAAAGAACCCCTAAATAAAACTATTTAAGAGTTTAAAAGAGTTGCATTCTTATTATGTAAGGATGGTTTTAACAACTTTTTAACATATAATTCTTCCATGTGGAGGTATTCAATACTGTATTGTAAAGCAATTTTATGGGGAAGATCTTTATATGCAGTATAAAAAAGTTAACACAAGTACTAATAAAAGAGGGGCATCCTAACTTGTGTTTGACCACCTTACCCAGAGAAGTGGGTCTAACACTCCAGAGCTCTATCACGAGGGAAGGGCTGTCAGGTTCGTCTGAACTGGACCAGTGTTGATCTGTAAGTAACAGAATATCTGTTTCTGTGTTTGGTACAACAATGCAAGATGCTCTAATAGCATTTGCTGACAGGACCAGGAAAAACCTTAAAAAGGACCAGCCTAACATAGAAGGTGGTTATTTGGACCAGAGGCTCTAGATGATGATTTTAGCCCCTGCATACATCTTTATCAGTAGCATGATTTCGTTTAGCTGTATAATGAAGAAGGGCAATGCAGAGAATGGTATCGATACGATAGATGCCAGGCTAGGGAAGGTTGGCGGTTTCAGTGGCGTATCTTCAGTCGCGGTGCGCAGATGGCAGTGCTGTGACAAGCTGGTACAAATACCTGCTGCGGCCGCCACCCTCGTGTTCAGTGTTGCCCTAAAACACATGCCATTAATAGGCGCGTCGGCTAGAGTTGGAAGATAGCTCGTGTCAGATGGCAATTTTAGATCACTACATGTCTTTTGGGGTAACGGAAAACGAATGCCCAAAAATAAAGTCTTCTTAGAAAATTCTTCATTTTTATGATAAATAACAGAAAAACTGAGTCATTGTATTTGAAGTCCAGGGATCAAATGGAAAGATCCCCTAATGATATGTCTATTTCACTGATTTGTTTATTTGGTTTTGATTTTCTTCTTTTTTTAAGCCAGTGGGTTATTTAACGTTGAGGTAATGTTCCAGTTGAATAAGTTGTGACATGTAGCAAACCAAGAAACAAAAAGGTCTTTTGCTGTTACCTCAATTCTTATGATAGTGGCCCTTATGATAGTCTGGTGCCTCTAGAGTTAAGAATCTGAGTTTCTCCCCTATTTTCAGGGGTTCGTGATTGGCTGTTAGAGGTACTGCTCCTGGCTAGTACTTGGAGTAGTCTGCGGGTGAGTGGATGTGTGTTGAATTTTGGTTTTCTTTTAACATGAACACGGGGTGAGAGGCGGGAAGGAAATCTAACCTATCTGTCACAGGGTACAGAAGAATTAATGGGAGATTCCAAATTTTAAATACTTTCTGAACTTCGCAACTTTCGACCCTGCTCGGAATTGCCGTTTGTAGTCTTGTGAGGAGTTGGTGCTCTTAGGTCCCCAGGAGGTGATTTGCTGGGGGCTGGACTGAAAGAAGTGAAGCTAGCCCACACCCCAAAATGGTAACGTTGTGAGTTGGAAGCCTGGGTGTATTCCTCAGGTTGAACTATTTCTTGATAAGTTCAGGAAACAGTAAATTGGCACACCTGCAATTTCTGAAGCTCTTCCCCTCCGAGTTAATTACAGCCTAATGCCAAGAGTCACCCTTTATTACTTACCAAATAGTAATCTGTGTGACTGGGGACGAATATTTTAAGTTACTCAGCTCTGTCCTCATGGGTCTATGTATTTAATACCTCCAAAGATATTTTCAGGATAGGCTTTGTACCCTTTTTGGTTATTTAGAGTCCTGTGGTATGTTTGTGGTATAGGAATGTCATGATAAATTGTTTTTCAATAAATATTTTGAAACTTGTGTTTCCACATGAAGTTTTTTATTTTTTTAAATGTTTCGGTTTTGTGCATATACACTATTTCCTAGGATAAAATCAAGCAAATGACTTGAGGCCTCAAAACTCAGCTTGAACGCAGCTTAGCTCACACTCTGATAAAGTAATGCGATATTTAGAAGCCTAGGATCTTGGGGGTGATGTCAAGTGGCAGACAGTTTTTTTCTTTTCTTCGTTTGTTTTCAAATGTTATTATTGACGTTTCTCCTTTTACCGCTGCTTTAATGTAGTTCCTCTATATCCATAAATGTTGGTGTAATGCCTGCACTCTGGCTAAGAAAACATTTGTCTTAAGAAAAAAAAAAAAAAAAAAAAAAGTTGCTGTCTTACGGTTAGGCGATGACTCAGCATTATTTCTGATTCTAATGAAAAATAGTACACGAACTTAAGTGCAGGATTTATTCCTTTAGTAAGGATGTTTGGGGTAAGAAAGGTGAATGCCATATAATTTATGACTTTTTAAAAAAACTAAGGATAAAGTTTACCTCACAGTAACCAGTAGCTTGTACAGATTTTTTTATATATGTGAATGGTTGTGTGTTAGGATGCCCTGGCCAATTTAAAAAGATTTTTTGGAGGTTTAGTGACATAATGTTAAACGCAGGCCTTTGGTCTCATCCTTCCCTGACTTCTCTTCTATCCAATCTTTTTCCTAAACTGTGGTGCTGCTCAAATTGGGAGCATCAGGGAGCTGTCTCGCTCCTGCCGCCGTGGGTGGCCGGTCCCTCGGATTGTGTGTAGTAGAGCAAGTGGAGTTTTTCACAGCATAATCTTTGTACCCCTCCGCAAGCTGACTTTGCCCAGAGGATTAGAACCCATCTTACCCATCAACTCTCTTCTTTGGTTAAAAATGAACTCACTATTACTCTGTAGTAACCCTTGTCCAGGTATTCTTGCATTGTGATGAAGACCTTCGTTGCTAGCCTGTTAAGAGTTCGTAATCTTGTAAAAATTAAGTATAAAAAGCTGAGTACGGCGGCACGCATCTGTAGTCTCAGTCACTCAGGAGGCTGAGGCAGGAGGATCACTTGAGCCCACAAGTTGAAGACCAACCTGGGCAGCATAGCAAGACGCCCCATCTCAAAAATACTAAGTGTAGCAGATGCATTCTTAGAGGTAGTGAGAGTGCCATTGGGCTGCTCTTGGTAGTGCGAGCAGAAAGCTGATTGGTTAACACAAGCCTAAAACATGGTTGAAGCTTCTGGCCGAGGCTACAAATGGATAGAATGATGTACTAAATAACAGGACTTGTTAACTGCCACTTTTTTTTGTTTTTGTTTTTTTTCCCCCAGCATTCCTAGCCTTCCTGTTTCTAAACTTCTTTTTTTGTGTAGCAAAATTACTACTGGAAAAATACTTACAAGTACTAATCTTTCGAAGAGTTCTATTTTTGCTTTTAAAAGTTGAGTGCATATTCCACCTCCAGTTACCAGGAGTTTTTAAAAAAATAAGACATTTAGATTAATCTCCAGCTTGAACACTAGTAGTAGTCCACAAATCTCAGGAACGTTTTAGGCAGAAAACTGGCTTTACCCCGTCGAGGATCTGAAGGAGCAGTGTGCTTAGGGTTTATTAAATAATACTGTTCTTACTTGCAATCCTAGGTATCTAGCATGAGTGGCCTTAGTGAGTTTGTTGAAGTGCACATGTTTTTTCAAGAGTAAAATTTAAGATTAAATATTTACGCTATATATAGATATCTAGAAAACTTGGTCTGTGGTGCACAGTTGTGTTGGATCACTAAATAATCATTGCAGGTACCATTTGTGTAACATGACTCACATCTGTATATTCCTTTTCTGGGGAGGTATGTTGCCATGGTAACTAAAACTTTCAATGTAGTTCGACTTTTATGATGTGAATGAATGCTACATTTTATTAAATATTACCAGGTCAGTACTATTTTTCTACTTTATGAAGCAACAGGGGATTTTAGTTTAATAGGCTCAAAATAAAAAGCTCTGAATGGAGTAATTAAAAACAAATCACTGACATTCTTTACATGAAAATCCCCACTACTAGTGCCACAGTAATTTCTATGGAAATATCTGAGGTCGTTCATAGGTTTTTGAAGACAGCTCATTGTGTCAAATGACCTTTCATACCACTCTCACTGACTTGTAGCGGCCACCATTACTTGTAACTATTAAACCATACTAAGTATGTTTGTAACCAGCATTGTGATATATTCTGTACTTGTATTGCTAAAAATGAATTATTGATCTAATAAATATAGTGTTCCTGCATTCAGAGTGGATCTGTTTCTGATTTGGTTGCGACTGCTTCGGGTTGGGACTCTGGGTTACACTTTACGGACTGTGTTTTTGGTTTTGGCACCGGGAATCGAACTCCGGACCTTGCGCTTGCAAGGCAGGCGCTGTGCCACTGAGCTATGTCCCCGGCCTGGACTGTTTGTAGTAGAGAGCGTGAGAGGAACTGTTGGGGACAACAAACGTGCGCGTGTTGAGGAAACTTACCGCTGTGCGGCGGAGGCGCGCGTGTTGAGGGCCTCGAGCGGGTGCTGCGGGCGCGGTGGAAACAGCCGCACTGCAGGAGCGCAAGAGGCGTTCTCGGTCAGCAAAGCGCAGGTCCCGCTCTCTGCCCAAGCCTTCCTGCTCCCCGCGCGGAGGCGGTGGCGAGAGGGGCCCCCGCAGAGCTTGCAGGAACAGCAGGGGCAGCGGAGGGACGCTGGGTTCGGGTTTCAGGTCCAGCTCTGCCTCTGAGCTGCAGGGGTCCGGGTTACATCTTTATCACCCTCTGTGTGTTTTCCTCGTGTCGGGGTGGGGGTAGGATTCAAAAAGTCTGCACCGTGATACAGCGTGAGTCTTACACATGCAAAAGACAGGAAATGCAGCCACCTTTTAAAAGATTACAAAGAATGTTTTAGACAAAAATCTCAGACCTTGATTGGCTTCATAGCCGTTTTCTTTTTCATCTCCAAGGCTTTGACCCTTTGAACATGCTGTTCCCTCTCTTATGTTGATTGCTATTTCCTGGGGAGTCTTCAAGCAAAGACCAAAAGAAGCCTTTAAAGTTTAAATTTCCACTTCTTGGTACTAATGCAACACTTTATGTAAAGCTTTGTTAAAGTGATCCCCATAGTCATACAGCGTATAGTGTTAAGACTGGGGTGTAGCCCTGTGGTCGTGTTTGCCTCATCCATACGCGGCCCTGGATTCGAATCCCCCACACGACCAAAACAAAATCCATCTTACAAACCAATTGGTCATTGATTTAACAGAGGTAACATTGAGTCCATCCTGTGACAGATACTGTCCAGAGGTGTCGGCTCCCAGGCCCGGTGGTGTATGCCTGCAGTCCCGGCGACTTGGGGGGCTAACCAGGAGGATGGAAAGTTTGAGGCCAGCTTAGACAACACAGTGGGACCCTCTCTTAAAAAAAAGTAAAAAAATGTTTTTTCTAAATTGTGTTAGCAAATCACAACCAGGTACTTTAAATATTTCTCCCTATACTTAGAAAATTCAAGACAAGACTGAGTATAGCTCAGTAACAAACCATATAGCCCTTGTCCAACCGTCAGCACCAAAACGGACAGACAAAGAAGCCATCTCTTTGACTATTGCAGCCCTGGGGCAGAGCTTGATACTGTAGCGCAGCACCGGAATGCAGAGGGACCTGTACCCTGCCGAAGATCACCCGAGGAACACCTTAAGACAAGCATTTGCAAGGGTGTAGAGAGGGTTTGCTGCTGTGATTCTAGTTGAAACCACAGAGCATAAAGATTGGTGGGTATAGGCTGGGTGTGGTGGCGCACGCCTGTAATCCCAGCACTAGGGAGACTGAGGCAGGAGGACCATTGCAAGTTCGAGACCAGCCCGGCCTACAAAGTGAGCTCAAGGCCAGCCTGAACTGCATAGCGAGACCCTATCTCAAAAAAGAGCCCACACACACACACACAAAAAGAAAAAAAAACTGAGAGGGAGCTGGGGATATAGCTCAGTGCCACAAGCACCTGCCTGGGAAGTGCAAGGTCCTGAGTTCGATTCCTGCTAATGAAACAAAACAAAAAAACCTGAGAGGATTATATTAGACCAAGGACTTCAGAGTCCGGACAAAGTGCCTTTTACTAGCTTGGAGCCTGGCCAAATATGCCTTTTCTGAGTGGCTCATCCTCATCAACCAAGGTGGCCGTTAACCTGTCTCCTGGATGATGAAGATTAAGAGTTGTCTGGGCCAGGGATTTAGCTCAGCGGCTCAGTGGCACAGCACCTGCCTGGCAAGCGCGAGGTCGTGAGTTCGATTCCCGGTATCGGGGAAAAAAAAAAAGGTGTTGTCGATGTAGTTCAGTGGTACACCATTGCAACATGTGATGTGCATGGCCCTTGGTTCCCTCCCCAGCACTGCAGAACAAAACAAAATGAATGCAGTGCCTGCATCAGAAGTAGGCCCATTACCTGTACTAGTTCCTTCCCTCACAAGGCAAGAGGAGACTCACAGCACGGCACAGGAGGATGCGCTGTGTGGGTAAATGAGCCCACCTGCCGAGAGGGCCGCTAATACTCAGCTGGTCCCGAGAACCCAGCAATCACTAAGGCTTTGGTAAGAAGTGGGCTGCTGGCTCTTCGGTTTCAGGTCAGGTCTGTGGAGGGTTAGGTCGGGTTAGATGGATCATCTTTTTGGAAGGTTGGTCCTCACGACAGAAAAGTCACTTCACCCAAGTCGGTACTCAGTGACAGATGCCACTAAGAAAAATAGGAGTATTCAAATAAGAAGTTGGGGCCTGGCGTGGTGGTGCACTCCTGTAATCCCAGCACTCGGGAGGCTGAGGCAGGAGGATCGTTGTGAGTTCAAGACCAGCCTGGGCTACAAAGTGAGCTCAAGGCCAGCCTGAACTGCATAGAGAGACCCTGTCTCAAAAAGAAAAACAAACAAACCAACCAACCAACAAAAACTTGGTAGAGGCAGCGGAACAAAGCTAGCCAAACATTTCTGGGAAGCTTCTCAAAACTAACAGGCAGGGCTGGGCGTGGTGTCTGTGATCCCACCATTCGGGAGGCTGAGACAGGAGGATGGCTGCAAGTTCAAGGCCAACCTGAACTGCGTAGTGAGACCCTGTGTCAAAAATCAAAACAAAACTCCAAGTAAATAAATGCAAACAGGTGGAGACTTCCCCTGAGCAAAGAAAGCTTATTCAGAGCACTTAGCTCAGAGAGTTTGCTGATGAGCCGCTCTTCATGCAAGGGACAGGCGATGCCTGCAGCCGGGCGGGAGGGTCAAGCATTGCATCTGGCAGGGCGCTCTCGAGGGAGCCTGTGGCACCCGGCCCTTACATTGGCTCCGTTTTCCCTACTGTGAGCACTTCTCTGGTGACCGCCCTTGGGTCTACAGCCTTGCCTCTCATCTCATTCTGTGTTTTGTTTTACTTTTTTGCAAATCTCCTTATTGCCCGGCTTGACCTCAGGCAGCCGCACTCCATTGTTTGCTTCTGCGCTGCCACCTCACAGGGCAGGTCACGTGGCCCCCGAAAGCTCTTGAAACAGACCGGCAAAAGGCAGCTAATATCTTCGAATGACGAGGAACACAGTCCTGACCTCACACAGCGCCTGCCATCTCTTCCTGGATTTCCTCTTGTTAGAACTGAGATGGTAGCAAGTCTTCATAGACTACAAGCTACAAAGATTAATGTTGCAGATCTTTTATCTGATAAAAATTCGCACTGCGGAGGCCCCACATTTCTTTTAAGCTTTTTTTTTTTCTTTTGTAGTGGTGCCTCTCGTCGTCTTCACAGCCTGTTTCTGCTGGCGGGTGAACTCCAGACTTCAAGCGCCTCCTTCCCACTGGGCTCTGTAGGGTTTATTTTCCAGTGCCAATGTGATAAAGAAAATACAGTCTTGGGCTGGGGATATAGCTCAGTGGCACAGCGCCTGCCTGGCAAGCGCAAGGTCGTGAGTTCAATTCCCGGTACCGGGAAAAAAACCGAAAGAAAAGAAACCACAGTCTCATTCTCTCTCTCTCTTTCTCTTTTTAATGGTACCGGGAATCGAACTCAGGACCTTGCACTTACCAGGCAGGCGCTGTGCCTCTGAGCTGTTTCCCCGGCCCTACAGTCTCATTCTCTTGCAGTGCTTGGCTTACTCCTGAGGTTGAACACTTCTGGTCTGTGCCGGGCTTTCCGGTGGGACCAGGAACCTCCCGCCTGTACACAATGCCCCCGTGTCAGTCTCGTTTCTCGCTGGCTCCGCCACGCCTGCGGCGCTCCTCTGGAATCATAGAAAGTCCCTGAAGTGCCAAGTGTGCTTGGACTCACACTCCGCATTACCTCTCCTACTCAGAGAAAAGACCCTGTGGCCAAGGATATAGGTCGGTGGCATAAGCACCTGCCTGGCAAGGGCAAGACCCTGAGTTCAATTCCTGATGCCCAAGGGAAAAAAAAAGAAAAGACCCTGAGCAAAGTCTGTGCTGGGGTTAAACTTCAAGAACAAACCTAAAGACTGCCCTCTGGTTTGAACCAGGAGTATTACAGCTTTTAGAAATGAGTGATTCAAGGGCTGGGGATTTTTAGCTTAGCGGCACAGCGCCTGCCTGGCAAGTGCAAGGTCATGAGTTCCATTCCCGGTACCGGAAGAAAAGACAAACAAAACCAACAAAAAAGGAATGAGTGATTCACACCTGTAATCCCAGCACTCGGGAGGCTGATGTAGGAGGATTGCTATGAGTTCGAGGCCAGCCTGGGCTACAAACTGAGTTCAAGGCCAGCCTCAACTGCATAGTGAAACCCTATCTCAAAAAGACAAAAAAGAGAAGGAAAGAAAGAAAGTGATTTAAGGCCAGCCTGGACTACATAGCAAGACCCTGCCTTAAAAAAAAAAAAAAAAAGCATGATGCCAGCACCTGGGAGGCTGAGGCAGGACGATCACAGTGACTTTGAGGCCAGCCTGCACTACATAGCAAAACCCTTTCTTCTTTTTTGTACTGAGAAACTCAGGACCTTGTGCTTACCAGGCAGGTGCTGTGCTGCTGAGCTATATCCCCAGCCCAAGACCCTCTCTTAAAAAAAACAAACAAAAAAAAAGTAAAGCAATTGCTTGACTAATTATTTGGCATTTTCTATTATGAAAATTTTCAAGCAGATGTAAAGCAGAGAAACTATTGCCAGGACTGGTTTGAAGCCCTCATCTGGCTTATGAACACGTGACCACTCATGCCATGATCACTGTCCTGTCTCCCACACAACTCGCCTCTGCCCACTGCCGCTGGTTTATTTTGAATCGAAACCCAGTTATCA